GGAACGCTAGCACGGAGACATCTGTCGCGCAGAAAATGCAACACGCCCTCTTGTACAGTGAAAATATTGACATTCATGGATGTTACTAGCTCACTCATTGTTGTAACAAATGTTTAGTCCATTAAAACATTTACCAAGTTAATAATTCCTAGTTCGCTCTGTTGAACTTTTGTTACGATATTTAAAAGTATCCATTTCTGTCGAGTAATAATCTAAGTCTTGCAACATTTTAATAGTCCACGTATTATCGATCGTTTAACAAACATCCGTAACTCTTATTTTTTGTTGTAAAACGTTTGATGTAGATACAAAAACACGCGTCCCTAACGCATCAAAGCGGCGCGACTCCCGGCGTTAAATTCTCATGTCGGGGGCTCGCTATTTTTTTGTGATAAAAAAAAACTTTATTCTACCGATCACAGCAGACAGTGTGGCACCGCTGTTTTTCTTTCAGTTTTTGTGACAATAAATCAGTTTAATATTGTTCAGTTAAAAGAATAAGGAAGGATCAAATTACAACTTACAAGTGTTCGTTTTATATCATAAGTAAAAATGTATAACAATTTCAAAGCTACAGTAGGACCCCGATTATCCGGACCTCGGTTATCCGAATTCGCGATTATCCGGACTGCCAATCGCGACGAGTTTATTCTAACATTAACATGTCAGAACTTGCATAACGCCACGCCACTCGTGCCGTCCGTGATTTTCGTAGATTCTCGCTCATATGTATTTGTTGTTTTAAATAAACACCTAACATTACATATGTATGGTACAGACTACATATGTACACTAGCTTTTGCCGCGACTTCGTCCGCGTGGAATAGTGACTTCCGGCAGATTTTTGGTTTTTCCCACATAGTTCCCGTTCTTGCGGGGTTTTCGGAATGGTCGAGTTCTCGTTGAATTTTCAGGATAAAACCTATATTTTTTTTATTCACAATGAAGTACTCTTAACCAACAACATATTTATTTGTTTATTTGAATAAAGATTAATATTATTATGTTGATACAACTTAAACAAATTATTTCGACCAAATTAGGTACCATAAAAACGGTTTTTGTGAGTTAATCTTAAAAGATAGACATATACTGTCCCAGACTGTTTTTTGGATGATTAAAAGAGCTATTATTCTTTAACACATATTTTTTGTGTATCTTGAACCGTTTTCACGGCGCACCCATCGGAAGTCTTCAAAGATGAAATAATTTCTCCCGTTTTTTACACATTTACCACTATATCTTTGCTCCTATTGGTCGTAGCGTGATGTTATATAGCCCACAGCCTTTCTCGATAACTGGACTACCCAACACAAAAAGAATTATTCAATTCGAACTAGTAGTTTCGGAGATTAGCGCCTTCAAACAAACAAACAAACAAACTCTTCAGCTTTATAATATAGATATGCAAAAAGCCCGTTTTTCTTCATATATTGGATTATCCGGACTTTCAATTATCCGGATGCCTACCGACAACAATTAGTCCGGATAATCGAGGTCCTACTGTATATCTTTCATAATTTTCACCTGTATATAATAATTCATTTCTTATTTAAAGATGAAATAATACTTTAATAAGCATAAATTACTATGAAAACGGTAACGCAAGACAAAATCCTTATTTCTATATAATACCATATATAAATATATGAATACAGTATAGTTATAATTTCATCATAGGATGCTGATGCTGATGCTGTGTCACCGGTCATCTCTGCGTGAGATAAAATTTTTAATCTGACATGTATCAACAACAAATATTTGTATGAGATTAACTCCGTCTTACTTAATTCTGCTAAGAGCTTTTTATTACGTGTCCTACAAGACTTCCACTTTGATTTCATCAGTTATTCAGTTATTAGTTATTAACTTAACTATTGAATCTGACAGTCCAAAAGATTACTAATAGTGATTGCATTATATTTACCACAAGATTTCACTGTGATACTTAACATAAACAGTTTTATAGTTTTTCATTTTTAAACTAATATTGATAATCACAATTATAAAGATGTGTGAATGGAAAATACTGTTAACTGTCTGTACTTTGGTAATACAAATTTGTAATGAGGATAAACTAAATATACCTAATGAAATAATGGAAGTTTTTTTTAATTAGGTGATATTTTAATGTAACTGATCTTATTATTAAATTATATTCATATGAAGAAATAATTAATTAAAATAGAAATATAAACCTAATATATTACATTAATTATGAATATATAATAATTTTATTATAAAATCTATCTATCATTAAATTGTTATGTTATATGATATAGTAAACAAAAATAGCAATAAAAGTAAAAAAAAATAGGTTTAACAACTTAAATTTCATTAAATGAGTGATAGAAAAACATACATTTTTAAGTAATAATTGATACACATTTTTGTGTTGTAATTTATGTGACCGTTTTGGATTCACTTATATAGATCTCAGAAGTTATACATATAAAGAAATCATATAATTGAATAAAATTAGCAAATATTCTATAAGAAAAACTAATATTTAATGTATTTAATATAAATCCATTTAAATATTATGAATCTGTTAATACTGAATGAATTGAAATCCCTTAAAGGCTTCCCATAATCAGCTGCCATCATGAGGCCGGGTTACCGAAGGTGACGAAAAAAAAAAGATAAAATCGATGTAGGATTTAGCAAGAATAGAATGAAACCATCTCAATTTAAAATTAAAGCCACGAAACGTGTTTTTCGCGTATTTTATAAAAATCTAGGGATACGGCGACAATCTTCGGATAAACCCGCGCCCTTTATATGTAGCGGAATCGATTACATTTTTTCAAATTTATTTTAAAATACGGCTTAAACATAACACCCTGTGATATAATCATGTTCTAACATTATATTAAAATATAATTTTTATATTTTTTCTATATTTTAAGATGTTTTAAGTGTTATCGTAAATTGCACTCAATATATAAAGCAATATGTATAGAATTTATGTGGAAATTTTTAGAATATATTTCAGGTTTAATTTACCACAGATTTATAAGAATTATAGTTATTATGACGATTATTATATGTACTATTAAAAAAATATATTAATTCAGATGACTTCCAAAACACAAATCGCTGGCTTACAACTCCGAAAATACATATATAAAAAATATCCAATATAAATGAATAGTGTTAGTACTATCATCTATCGTATCACCCGTCAGTATTGAGTAATGAACGTATCACAAAGCGTTTAATAAATAAAATGCATTCTCTAATCCCCTATTTAAATACAATGGAATAACAAGTGCACAGCTAATCATCTCAATATAATGGCTGGATGGTTTAAGGGTGAATTTTTTGTTGGATATAAAAAACTCTATTAAAACAGATGAACTATGGATACATTCGGATTGACTTTAAATGATCGCCCCTCCGTGTGATGGATTGCAAATCATTTTGTATTGTTTGTTTTATAATAAATTAATTTATTGATGTATTTTTTATATATTTATGCTTGGATTTTCTTTAATGAAAACGTGTGAGTTGATAGATTTTAGTTTGAATCTTATGTCGGTTATGTATCGCGATAATAAATAATTTTTCGAAGTAATTTTTCTTTTAAACTTAAATGATTCGTTTTTTGAATTTAAATGTACATTAGTTAACATCTGATATTTGAATTTTAAAAAATTACGTTCATTATTTTACAAAGGCATAAAATAATACTTATTTTTTTATTATTCAGTCCAAGGATTTTTTCAAATGGTCCAAATTTTTTAAAGACATAATTATAAAAAAAACTTACGATTGATTTACTCATATCTACTTTATTAAAATATAGTATTTTATTGAATAATATCTCTATAACATAATTGCATTAAAAATGTTTATTGACTTTATTCAAAGCAGGCCCTCTCTTCACACATACTAATTGCGTAACTAAACGTTAGGGGGCGCCTAATCCGATATTGATGCGTTTGTAAAAATTATCCGATCAGTCTCCTACCCCTGTCTCTTGTCCCTTGTCCCCTGTCCCTTGTCCCCTGTCCCTTGTCTCCTGTCCCTCGCCCCCCAAATTGTTGTTGAATTATTCAAACAGGTTTATGATTAGCTATTGTTTTAGTTTGTATATTGATTAAAATTTAACGTAATTATAAATATTGATGAAAAATTAATTTAAAAATCTATAAATTATCATAATATTAATGTCAGTGGGTTTAAGACAATAATAAAATATTGAATTATATTAAGAGATGTATTCGTTTTTTGTCTTAAAACTATGTTCCGAATCAAACTTACAATCTATTAAAATGATATATGTACATATATAAAGAAATGTTTTAATATGAAAATGTATGAAAGTCTACCGTACCTAATCTTATTATTAAAAGTAGAGATAGAGTAGAGTAGTGTTAAAGAAATAACTAGCTATTAGTAAGTTTAATATATACATATTAATTAAGTAGTAACACATATAAAACATGTTGTCTGTCTGTATGTTGTATCAAGTGTACGCTTCTATATTATTCTATTAGATATGTGTACAAGTGATGTCAGTAGCACGTGATTGTGCAAAAATCGTCGCACGTGTTGTAGAGAGGAGGTATGTATAGTGTTATCATATTAGTGAGAGCGTGACGATGGGGGCCATCATAACACCATACAAAATTAACGGTGTATTCACCTTGCCCTCGCTGTACATTGTACAAGCTCACATACAGAAGATCGTATTGATATTGAATGTCCATCAAGTATTATAATAACTTTGTAAGTAAAGGTATTTAATAAATGTTATACTTTTCGAACATGAGCTTTCCTATAACGTACTTAGTAGGTTCTTTTCAAATTTGGTTAGGTAGAGAGAGGAGCTTGGACAGTGGTGAGCGTTTAACGCGTTAGATAGTCTCTTAAACCTACACCTGGGTCGTAAGTCCCAGGCACTGTTGAAGCTACTCTCTACAACGATGGACCTAGCACTCGCACATTAAATACATTGAATGCTGAGAGGTGTCTTATAATTATGTATAACTTACATTTAAGTTTCTCCAATGGTTCGTGGTGAAGCGGCGGCGCGTGATGTAAAGGCGCGTGCTGGGGCTCATGATGTAGTGGCGCCATCAGACTTGATATAGCTGAGCCCACGGAAGCCGCCACAGATTCGTGGAGATGACCTGAATGTAGGTCCAGCTCGCTGAGACAAAGGTTCTCGCTTAGCGGCTCCATACCGGCCGCTAGCGCCTCCTTGTACACGCGGAGGTGAATCGTGATGCTTTAAATGTACCTCGAATGAACCAGCCGCGGGCGCGACTATAACACACTCAGGCCGGGAACATCGGCTCACCTACACAGAACACAACATACTATAATAACTAACTCAAGAACACTATAAGTAAATATCTTATGGGGGATGAATATACAAAATTACATATATCAGCTAAGTTTTTATGTTATACAGGGTGTGTCACTATTAAATATCTAACATCAGTTATACAATGTTTGAAAAAGAGAATGTATACATCCTGTATAATTGATATTGAGAATTTTTTTAATAAGTGTTGAATGTGAATTGTGATACAAATAATGATTAAATATTTTAATTAAAATGTTGATTATATTTTTTCATATAAGTATTTAATTGAGATTTTTAAATTTAACAAAATTTAATGATTTTTTACTTCGGTCGATTTAATTAACGTTTAATATTTTTACTATAAAATTAAAATTAATAAATTAAAGCACTTGTATATATAGTAATAATAGTAATTATATAGAATTTAAGAGTTTTGCATTAATAAAAATTTATTAACAAAATTATAGTATCATACCCGTTATTGAATGAAAAACGGGAAACATTTCGTAAGTAGAGTAACGATACAAATTTGTACTAAGATTACAGATTTAAACATATAGTAAAGAAAAGAAAATTATAAAATACAAGTCTAATCTCTACGTTGGTTTTAATAAAGAACAATTTCGTTCCAATAATGCCTAATTCACAGACTAGTATGAGTACACGATAGCTCAATCTGTCAAGAGACTGGGATATTATATTCCAATAGTCTCAGGTTCAAAGCCTGATCTTATTAAATATTCAACTAGATTTAATAATTTATTACTTACATACACTAAATAGATTTTGCTTTCAATTTTTTTATACGTAAATTCCTATATTATTTTTGAAGCTAATTTTAATTATTATTATACATATTCACGCAAGATCTTTAAAACACGACTCTATCAATATCAATAAACAACAAACATAACGAAAATCCTCTAAATTACTTTTATTACCAACTCATCATACACGCGCCATCAAACAAAGTTTCACAGAATTCTAAGTAATATATAACATAATTATAATTTAGATGCTTTAAGATAAAAAATAAATAACGTAACAAAAAGATATACAGCATAATGTTTAATATATCACACGGCGTCCGCATCATAAAGCTTGTTTACAGCTGAAAGTGCTAGCTGTTCCCGTAATTTATAGCTTGAATAGCTTTAATCGCCTTTACACCCACGGTTATTCAATATTCAGTAAAAGAAAGGAAAAACTCCTTCGGCCACATACACTTTATGTTCTATTAGCACCGCTCGAAAAAGATTTTACCACAATTAGAATTGATATATAGATTCGATTACAAATCTTTCACTTTTAATCTCACTTATTATTATAATTATCGTATCATCTATAAGGAAAACGAACAATAATTAGATTAACATACCTTAATTAACCTCAATCACTAAAACACTGATTCAATAACAAAATATGGCGGAACACAAATTATAAACAACGAAAATAAATATATAGATATTATGACTTAACACACTCTGGATATAAAACGTACTTGATCACAATAATTTCATGTAAAACATGTGTAAAATGTTAGTTACATGATAAATATTTGTGTTATCCGTCCGTATCGGCTTGTATCACATGATAAAATAATTTCGCGCCGTTATTGACATCTCTGATACACCGACGCCGACACTCACGCGTACTTGTGAGTTGTGTTCTATAAACATGTTTTGTATTATCTGTACTTGTCTATGGCATTTGAATTTGGAATACTTAAATTGTTTTTTTTTTTTAATTAGTGTTGTTGTAAATGCATTATTCTCAATAAGATTTTAAAGATAAATGAATTTGAATTTAGAATATTATTTAAAATAAATTTTTTTCTATTACGTATATCGATTTATGCAAAGAGTTTTTATATTAATAATGAATGAAAATTTGTGTGACGTGCGTATGTATGAGTGAAACAATGAAAATAATTTTGGGCATACAAATTAAATAACAATTATATGGAGGTACTTTATCTAAACTGGTAGCGTATTATCGTAATAACATTATCAGAATTTACGACAATCTCCCCTACATTTATAAAGGAAAATATATAAATAATATATATTTTTATTTATATATATTCTTATAAAGTTACCTATATGTATTATATATGAAATTGTTCTTCTATATTAACTGTTGTTTTTTGTATAGTTTCACCATAAAGTGTTTACTTCTAAAGGATATTAAGTTTAATAAGTGTTTAGACTTCTACTTGAAATAAATAATAAACTTAAACATTATTAATAATAAAAATAATTTTATTTATTATATGTCCGGTATATCTTATATAGAGAGACAAAAGTCTAACAACTGTATAGGTATGCCATAAAATATTTCATACATAGAGTGTATCTATGTATAAATAATATTTAAATAAAAAATAAGTTTATATTCATATAAATATAATTTAAATATTATTCAAGTTATTTTAATACAAAACCTTCTTTAATTTTTAAACCGAACATCATGAGATTTAAAGCCTTGTCTAAATAAAAAAAAAAGAAAAAGTTTTCTAACTTCCAACTGAAATTCTCTCCTCATAGTAAAAAAACAAAATTATATCGAATTATTCCAATTATAACGCCTCTATAAAAAACTCTACAAGAACATGTAAGAGTCAAAATAATATATTAAATTTTATTGACAGCGAATAATATCTTATTGGAATACATATTTAATATTAATCAAGGATTTGAATTTAAAAATATATTTTTACATATAAAATGCAATTAATGACAAATATTCACAGAAAGAAGAATAAATAGAGCTGATAAAATGTAATTAATTATAATGTTATTAATTTTAATGAATATTCACTAAAGTAAAAGCGCTTAAAATCCTAAAAATATATATGTTTAAATATGTTTTAATTAGAATAAAAAATCTTATTATGAATAAAAATGTAAGTAAATAAATGAATGTTATAAAATTATAGAGTTAAATGAAACACATTCATACATTTATAGGTAGGTCCGTCGGGTCCCGTTAAATATTTTTATACAAAATAAAATGTACCTTATATATTTATATATAATTATATTATACATATATATGTGTATATATATAATTGTATGTGTGTGTGTCATATATTTTATCGAGGTGTAACCTTATTAATCCCTCACAATCGTAAACACAGCGTGTCGCCCCTATTATTGCTATATTAATTATATTTATATTTCAATATTTATTTTATTATTATAATGAACATTTTTATAACATTATTATTATTTATTTTATTTAGCATATTATATAGGAATCATGAAAATTATAGAGAATATTGTTCTTATAAGAATCGTATAATTTTTTTAATGTATTAATTAATTGATAATAAATGTAAAATTATTATTATAATACATTTATTATTTTATTTATTTTCATAATAATTATTATTTTTAATGTAACATACATAGGTTTGTGTATTTCCTGAATCAACTCACGTGTTTTGATTAATATACCTAAATTTATTGTAATTTAATTTAATAATTATAACACAAATAAAGTTTAAAATAACCAAATATATGATTAGGTTAAATATTAACTATTATCTGTATATCACAACTCAAGTCCAGTTAAGCCGGTGAAGTTAACTCGTTTATTCCACATTAATTGGATCGGTTAAAATAACTTGAACACTTAACTAAATAAGTTATAACTCACCGTTAAACATATAACAGCTGTGTCCGTTTTAAACTCAAGCCTTCAAAGTATCCGTCATAACTTCACAAGAACACGTGAACATAAAAACTCATGTGTCGGATATAAATCGAATGAATTCCGAGATTAATCGAATCTAGTCGGATATATTTCCGTTTTTCGAGATCTCGTAAATAAAAAAAAATATATATGTTATATATATATATGTAATATATTAAGCTTGGGTTTTAACGGAACGTACCGCGGGCTCTAATCTCGGCCACTTCCCGACGCAATTTGAACCTAACTCCGGTACTCTATACATCATCAGCGTCGCCCGCCCACCGACACCGCATGCTGTCCCTCTCTAACACATTGATACACACATACACCCGTCCCGCTCGCACAGCTGGCTCCACTCGGCCTTATAGTCAGCTGGACGGACTCGCTCGGATGGAATCGACTTTTTATCAGGTTGTGACGAACGATGACGTCATCATACACATACATATATATTATTTGGTTTATTTTTTTTGGTGTATTAAAATTATATGGAATAAATTTTGTATGTAAGGTAATGTATACGATTTGTTTGATAATATAAAGTGTAGTCAATATGTTGTGTATATTTGATGTTTTATAGTGTATGTGTATGTTGAGTGCCAGCTGAGTTCCGTGTACATACAGACACGGTGAACGTCCAAAGCTCATTTAAATGTAGCAATATGTTTCCCTAGCAGCTCACAAATAATTGCTGTTTAAATCTCATACAATGCAGCGTCGCCCGCAATAAATAAACGCTCGTTCAGAACGTAAACATATCGGACGTATTAAACGCGCGCCGCCCGCCGACCGCCGCCGGCCGTACATAATGATACTATTATAAATATAAACTTCTAACACAAACTTAGCTAAACAACGCCATAATTGCCTTCATTACTTAAATTACTGAAATTATTTATTCAAAAAGCTGGCAACATTTAGGCTCGTGTGGCCCCGCCCACCGCGTTGATTCAACCAATCACAGCTCGCGTACCGCCGGTGGGCGTGGCCAGCCACAATATGGCGGACACTCGCCACAGCTACGTTAACAGACGCCGTCGGCGAGCGCGTCACAGTTAACATTTAAATTGAATTAAATTGTGTTTCAATTAATAATGTATCGATTAAAATGTGTCCAATAATCGATTTTAATATGTACAGTAGTATAAGTAATCGATATTGAAGTCAGCAAGAGTGTATAATGACCGACGGTAAGGATACCGACGGAACGTTCACATAAATAAGAGAAATATTGGTGTGGTGAGGTTTAATACATTTATATAATATGTAGAAATAAGCTAATAAACATTATTAATATATATTTATTATGATTGCAACATTAGTCTCATATTAATGTAATTAACATCAAAATAACTTAATACGTACTTCATTATATTATTTTTACTATGATATTGTTTTAAGAATATTAGTGAATATAAAAATCTATTTTATATTGATTTAAGTATGAAGCATTTTGTTTATTCACAATCAATTCATATTCATATTGTAGTACCTAAATATAAGTTTATTATTGATTTGTTATTAAATTACATTATCCTTAATAGATAATAATTCAAAGAATAATGTTTTGTATGAAAATAGAATAAATACTTACTTATTTAAGTAAATTTAAATAATACACTTTTATTTAGTTCATAGATGTAGGAACAGTTATTCTAGATATTGTTTCATGTGTATCAACATATGCAGTGATAATAAAATGTTATGAATAAAAAACACAATGTTTAATTTAACACAATACATTAATGTAGGAACATTTTATTTAACTAATATTTTAATTAATAAAATTATAACAGTTATAGAAAAGTGATGCTCTTCAATACATTTGTCATCCGAAAAATATACTAATTATTATTATTAATTAAAAAATATTCCAAAAAAAAAATTAACTCAATGTAAAGAAAAACGTCTTCAGAACAAACACTGTAAGTAATTCTATCGAAAAATATTTGTTTTAATGAATAAAATTCACTGTATTTTTTACAATACATAAAAAAAACATTTTTCATACTTTTGTGTTTCAATAATAGATATTATTTGTATACTATTTGTCATCTCATTACCCCGGGGTAACGGCTGACGTACCACGGTCCCTCGGGGGTAAATACTGACGTTATACAGATTTGTTATTTAACGACTAATTCAGTTTTGGATAATAAAATATACCTATATAAATGAAGAAAAAATGGTATTTTTATTAATAAGACCCTTAATATTAGAAGCTTCCTCAATAGATTTCATTTAAAAGATAATAGCTGTATAGGTAATTAAAAAAAACTCGTAGTTTTGAGGACACATACCTAAGTTAATTTAATTATTAAGGCATATACCTATGTATATGTAAAGAATATTAAACAATTTTAAAAATTAATAGTATAGGTACTTATAATACTTATACCTACCTACTTTATTAATAGAAAATCGATATCTTGATCCATTTTAAAATGACACAGCTTATTTTAGAAACTATTTTTAGATCAGATGATTCCAGATGTTCCAGCATATTATATCTTCGGACCTATAACTTTAAACCATCATCATTTAAATCTTCAATCACATAAAATACTATTTTGAAACAATAATAAAACCTATATAAATTACAATAATAATAGATAATAATATAATAGATGCAGCAGTAATAATACAGTACAGTCATTACTATAAACAGCTAATCAGGGCAGATCGGTTATAGCCGCATTAACAACTACTGATTACAACACTCACGTGGTCATATTAATATGTTTGTATGTTTTAATTATTATATCATATATATATGTATTGGAGAATAATTTAATAAGTATGGATTTTATATTTATTTATTGAAATATTTATACAGGGTGTTCAGGATTGTAATAGGCGTATAATGTATTGATTTCTTAACACGAACAATATGTTATAAATAATATTGTATGTTTTTATACTAAATAATATCATAATATGTAAGTAAAAAGAATTAAAGACAGTATATTAATATATTAAACAAAACATTATAAGAATTACCTTAAAGTAAAAAAAAAACACCACGTACCTACCTATAAGTTTACATTTTAAGAGTATGGTCACTTAAAATAAATTATTGATCATAATTATATCATTACTTTTATTAATTTCAACTTATAATTTAAATCTTATTTTAGAAATTCATTCTGTTCTTTGCAATTGTAACTTAAGTATGAAAAAAACTATCTAATAATAAGTTAAAACACTGAAGCATTAATTTACAATTATAATCCATTAATATGAATCGTTAAATTAAACCCTAGTTATCATTTAACTATCAAGCTAGTTAATGTATCTATGTCTATATCTACATGTAACTATATCTATATCTACACATATTAAATGTTAAACGGCCACTGTCATTATGTTAAGAACGTAATCCGATGTCAGACGTCTCTTACTGAACTCACCAATGACTTATAACATCACGTTTATTGTTAATATATAGACAAATAATATATTATTAATTAATAAAAATAAAACATATATATGGAATTATTATTTTTTGATTTTGTTTAAATTTTGTAGATATAAAAAAAAATGTAGAGACGATATTTCTTAGCGTTCAATGTAGTCAGCGGTGTCGGGTCATTCGCGTTGCAGGGAGAGGAATATATATTAAATTATTAACAGGAATTATATTGATTTCACAGGAATTATATAGAAAAGTGGTGGCCTAGTGGTTAAAAAACCCGCCTCTCGTACACGAGGGCGCGGGTTCGATACTGGCAAGTACCAATGTGATTTTATGACGGTGAAGGAAAACATCGTGAGGAAACCTGGACTTATAGTTTCACAATTACAAGTTGGAAATCACCAACCCGTCTTGAGCAAGCGTGGTGATTAATGCTCTAACCTTCTCCATGTGAGAAGCAGCCTTTGCTCAGCAGTGGGCTCTGATAGGATGATGATATAGATTACTTAAAAAAATAAGAGTTAAGGAACTAAAGATAAAAAGTTAGAAATATTAGTTAAAGGAAGCCTCGTCTCGTATTAGAATAAACAGGATATGGAATAATAGAAAACATATAGTTTGATTTCAGTATAATTAGTTATAACATCTTAATTTATAAATTATATGAAGTGCAATAAATAAATGAAAAAAAGTAAATTTATTTTTATTGAAATTCCATACAATAAATGTTTATTTATAAACGACAATTTAATTACTAAGAGATATGAAGGAGCATTCATCTTTAGTAATATTACTTTTAATACAAAAATAAAATTTGATTTCACATATTAATTAAAAAAGACTTATACAACAATATAGGACCTACTTATATAGGTATGTTTTTATGATATGTAGGTACCTAAATCTTTATAGTAATATCTCAGTAACAGAAAAAAAACAACGTAACTTATAAGTTATATCCCAGCATGCATTCCTAATAAAAAATGAGTAGGTACTTTCCACACACAGACGAACAAACAAGTTTTAATAGAGCTTTATAATAATATACTGATGTTGAATATGAATACAAACACTCTAGACATTTATAACTAAAGAAACTACGCGCTTACTATGAGTTCGCATCGATATACTACAAACAGATCATTAATAGTTCTTCATTAATAAATCTCCTCACATATACACTAATAAAGTAAGAAACATTTCATATGTAATATAAAGAAAACTTATGACAAACAAACAAACAAAAACGAATCACAATTAAAAATCAAGTCTCTTACCACTTGTCTGCGTAGTCTCACTAAACACTCACTCATGAGTTATTCGTTGCTAAACGTTCACACAATAAATCACCCTTAGTACATGAGTCATACTATAAACTGTTCAGTTAAACAATTCAAACCAATAGTAAGGTAGCCGATACGTAACTTTATTAATATGGTTATCTTGTTCAATATATATATTAGTACTATAAGTACAGCCGGTGTGTTATCACACTACAATAAAATTAAATCTATTCCCTTATCAACGCTTCTGAATTTTTAGATTCGTGATGATAAATGTGTTCCACCCAAAATATACGTTGATATGGCAACTAATATAAGGTTATTAATTTTTTTGGCAGACCCCTGGCTAAAGCTGGGAGGTTGCTAGGAAGATATTGTTATTAAATAATATTGTAAAAAAAATTAATATTGTAGTAAAAAAATTACAGTTGAGAATTGAGATTATTATATTTAAATTCTTAAAGAAATTCAAACAATATATATATATATATATATATATATATATATATATATATATATATATATATATATATATATATATATATATATATATATATATATATTATACATGTATATAGTAATTATTATATAATAGGTAGTAGGTATCGTTCGTCAAACAAAGCTCGTAGTTTGGTCTGGTTCATAATTTATTCTCAATGAATATTCATGAACGCTCAATTTTCATTTAATTTTCTAATATAATATCTACAGAATAACTCGAAGATGTTTTGTGAAATTCGGGAGCCATAGTTAAGTATTGAGGGTAGGGTGACCATCGTTCGTCACGGGACAAAGATATTATATTCAAAAAAGTTATATAAAATTAATTGTAGAGACTTCATTTATAATTACTAACATATTATTCTTGCTCACAATTTGTCTATATTTTTATATGAATAATGTTATTAAAACAATCATTTACAAAGTGACACGATTCAAGTAGAAGTAAGTATAATAAATATAAATAAAACATAACTAAATTATCCTAATATTCCCAGTAAGTGATGGTGTCAGTAAGACGGTTGATGAAATCCCAGTTATTAATCATTTGATTGCTTTAATGAAGAGATATTATGCAGATTCCGTTGACGAAGACAATGAGCACGATCCAACGAGACTTCAGATAAAGAACCCGCTGACACACACATACAGACACAAACACACACACACACACAAACATTATTATTATATTATTATGATTACTGAAATGTGGTAGGTGTTCTGTTTTTGAAATTAATGTCCAAAGAGGTGAAGACAAAAAAGTTTTTATAACTGATCTAAAACATTAGAAATCGAAAAGTTTAATAAGTACTTTTTTTTAAGAATAACGAATGCTCTCTTATATGGGTTTGAATGACAAC